TGGCATGACAAGTGATAGCATGTCTACTGCGTTTGCCAAAAGTGCCCCCACAAAACTGACATGGAGAAATCAAGCTAGATGCCCACGCCGCACACAGCTGATCGACACGAGGCTGAGCCGGTACCCATACACTGCCATGATGCTGCTGTAAATGTTTGCGCAGGCCACGTGCAGTGCATGGTTCGTGACAAAGCTGACATTGCAATGCCCATTTCTTAATGCCATCCGCAGCTGGGAAGGTCTCATCGAGAGGAATCGCATCTGAGGCTTCCTGTGCATCAGGCACCGGTGTTGTCATGGCCCGGGTCATACTGAGTTGAAAGAGCACCGGGCATGTGTCACGATGGTGTGTTTGGGCTTGATGTGGTCAAAGGCCAGACGCCTCCATTGCATGGTTCGAGCTTGGTGCTGTGCAGACTCTTCCTTGTGAACACGCGTCCAATGTCTCTTGACACTGCCTGTTTTGGGAATCCACTGCCTACACAGAGCACAATGGTAGAGAACCTCCTGCCTGAGTGAATCGGTGATAAGCGTCAGCTCAATGGTCTGTAGTGATAGCTTTCCGTCCTGTGTCAACTGAAGGATGGATGGCTTGGCCTCCGGCTCCGTAGTAGCCGGCACACGACGACCCTGGCAGTGATTCTCTTCAATGTGCTTCTGCAATTCGGTCCAGCGCATAAAGACGTGGCCACAGCCACTGCAGGTGGGCATGCCGTCTGTACCATGAAGTTGCCTGTCGAAGAGGGTGGGCGCCGCTTGCATGCGCTCTGCACTGTGTAGCCTGGCCTTGTGTTGTCGAAGGGCTGCATCGTTGTCAAACTGCGCATTGCAAAATTCGCATGTAAGCCGATCACCTGAACCGGCCCCCTCCGGCGCTTCCAGTTCGCGCACCTGTGTGAGAAGGAGCGACTCTCGATCAAGTATGGTTTTGGAGACTCTGACATCATCATCCCCGAGGATTTGGCAAAGTGTCGCGGATTTCTCGACCATGTGTTCATGAACCTTCAAGAGTAGCTGGTGGACTGAGGGTAAGGCCTAGTCTCTGAAGAAGATCATGGTCATTTTCCTCAGTCAGGTGCCGTGGGCTGCGCGCCATTGCTCGAATTTGCCTGACGAACATCACCCTGATCAGGTCAAACGATTTGCGAGTGTAGCCCGATGCCGCCAACGAGTACAGAGTCGATGGCACCACAATAGTTTTCCACAAATGTAGACGCCTTTGCAGGGGGAGAGCTCGATGTGACATCAAAGTGGGACGCAGCCGAGCAAAAGCGGCCTGGCCAGCATGTCGGCGATGCTGTGCATTTTGCACCTCAAAAGACCCATATGATATCATTGCACCCAGGTACACATGATGAGGCTTTAGGGGCAAGGTCCACGTGGAGTCAATGATGAGCTGCTTGCCTGGCGGTTTGGTCTGTTTGCGCACGATCTTGCGCATCAGATGAGGGACCTTCGTTCCCTCCGCCTTGAGAAGGCATACAGTTTTATCACGACTAAGATCAAACCCAAGGTCCTCCAGCAAGCTCAGAGCCACGCCCGCCTCTCGCCGAGCTTGATGTAAGCCCTCACAGTTCTGAAACTCCCAGCGCATGTGGACATCATCCGCGAACCCCAGCAAATGTTCGATGCACCATGCCGCGTCAAAGCACTGATCAAGCTTATGTAGAACAAAGACTGACAGGCAACACCACAACGTCGGTGATAACTTGCATCCTTGTCTGATCCCTGAACCGGAGTGATAGCTGACGCAATGCCCGGCCTTTTCGATGTGAAAATGAGTGTTCTGCACCCACCGCAGGATAATGTCCACTAGGTCATCCGGAACCTCAAGAAAAGCCAATGCTTGCACCAGGAGCTTTCTGTCCGCTCGATCAAAAGCCTGGGAAAAGTCAACACTGACTTGTAAGCCACCTGCGCAAGTGCTTCGCTCATGCCCNNGCATACCAGGATCGCTTCTGAGCACTCGCCGCGTTTCTCACCCTTTCACAATGGTCGTACAAGATGCTAAGAGCTTGCTGAGGGGAACGCTGTGCCAAGTAGCCAAACAATGGAAGATGCCTAGTTTTGCACACCAAATAGGGTTCAAGGTGTGTCTTTAAGACACCGCTCACGGCCTT